CTGCGTGAAGGGGCTCCGGGACGTCCTGTGACACCAGCCCAGAGCTGGCTGATTGGTTCCTGCCCCAATCTGCCCCCCGTCCCGACCCCTTTCTCTGCTCTCTCTCCCTGCAGGACGCGCCCCTGGGGCAGGCCTCCTTCTCCATCTTTGGGTCCTTCGGTGCTGCCCTGCAGGTGGTTCTCATCTTGTATCCTTGGGGTGCGCAGCCCCAGCCCCTCTGTCTGATCCCTGCAGGGGGGCTGCTCTCTCTGGGGCTGGAGCAGGGCCTGGGTTTGATTGAAGTATCGGCAAGCCCAGTGCCCCCCTTCCCTGCCCCTCTGGGTGCTGTGCCCACAGCCCAGCCCCTGCATCGGCTCCCTGGGCCCAACAGATCTCCCCTCCCCACTCCGTTATTCCTCCTTAACCCCTGGACTCAGCTATCTAATGGTCTCCTCCGTCGTGGGCTTCTACAGCTCCCCCATGTTCACCAGGCTGCTCCCTGCAAGGCAGGATACCCCCATGACCAAGGTAAGTGGTACCTGCCCCTCCGCCACCGGGTGCCCCCTGCCCCAGTGCAGGGCCGCTTCCTACCCACAGGCAGCCACTAGGGACCAGGGTGCTGTGGGCCCAGGACGCCTGGGTTCTCTTCCCGACCCTGCTGCTGGGGGCGGCTGCACTGCATCATCTCGCCACACGAGGGCGCCATGCACCCGGCACCAGGCTGGATGGGGAGAAGCCCAGTTGTGAGCTGCCCCCTGTCAGATGCCCCCAGCTCGACGTGGCTGCTCAGCGGGAGCCCCCCACGTGCCCCAGGGCCAGAGTCCAACTGGGGATCTTGGTTCCCTAATTCTAGGGGTGGGGCCGCAGGTGTCTGGTGGCTCGCTGGGCGGCGGATACAGAGTTGCTGTGGTGATTGGGGGGGCGGGAGGGGTCCTGTGCCCATACTGGGGTGCAGCACCCGTGGGGGCAGGGGGAGTCCAGCTCCCAGGTTCAAGGCCTGTCTCTCCCCCACCCAGATCATTGGGAACTGCGTCTCCTTGCTGGTGCTTAGCTCCGCGCTGCCCGTCTTCTCCAGGACACTGGGTGAGTCTCACACGCCCCTGGGGTGGGACTGAGTGGCTCCCGATATGCACACGCCCCCCCTGCACTGGGGATTGGAGCTCTGGAGCAGCTGCTGTGGGGCTGTAGGTCAGGATTGAGGGGCAGAGGCAGAGCTGGAATAACAAGGGCCTGTGGGTCAGGAAGGGGGGGAGGGCTGGGGCTGCAGGGGGAGGTGCAGTGGGGCCCAGCCCCTCTCTGAGGGGAGCGCTCAGCCTCTCTCTCGTGCAGGAATCACGCGGTTTGACCTCCTGGGCGACTTCGGCAGATTTAACTGGCTGGGGAATTTCTACATCGTTTTCCTCTACAACATGCTCTTCGCCACCCTCACCACCCTGTGCCTGGTGAAGAAGTTTACATGGGCCGTGCGGGCCGAGCTCATCCGAGCCTTTGGTGAGTCCTGGGCCTCCCGCCTGCACCCGTGGGGGAGCCGGTCCCCGGGCTGGGGAGTTTGGGCTGTCAGTGTCCCTGGGGGAGGCGATTGGCCGGTGAGCCGGGGCGGTGGGTGAATGGGCTCCTGGCCCCAGCCCAGGCCCTGGCTGCCTGCTGGGTGATGGGCAGGGAGGGGAAATGTCAGCATAGCCCCTAATCAGTGTCTTCCCCCCCCAGGTTTGCACAAGCTGCCCCTGCCCGTGACACGCACCCGCCAGCCCAGCAAACTCTGCTAGGACGAGTGTGGCGCCAGCCAACGGCTGGGACTTGGGGGATACGCCCCCATGGGGCGGGGGGGGCAGCCCCACCCCGATTTGATGGATTTATGTGGGTCTCCTGCATTCTGAGCCGAAGGACCATGGACCCTGCGGAAGGGGCGGGGCCTGTCTGACTCCGCCCTCGTCTGCTTCTGACCAATGGTGTGCTGGCGAAGGGGCCAGTAGCCTCCTGGGGTGCTGATCCTGCATTGGGATGTGGGGCATCGAGGGGGGCCCCGTCCCGGGTGGGGGAGACAGGAGAATTCGTGACTGTTGCTGAGCATTGCCCCCCGCCCCACCGCTGGAGCCTCCTGGAGGGTGGGGGGGAAATGGCAGCTCCAGGTACCATGCAGGAAGATGTATGGGATTATAATGGGAGCTGCTGGCCAGCACGCAGTGCTGTGGGGAGGGGGCAGGGCCTTGGCTGTGGGGGGGCTCCTGGCTAGTCCAGCCCCAGGCTCTCCCCGCAGGGGGCGCTGTGGGGAGCGGGGGTTTAGCAGGTGCCGAAGTTGTCTCACTGGACTTGTTGCTAAACTCCTCTGCTGGCCCTGAACCCCCGGGCCCCTGCGCGGCCCCGGGCCCCTGCGCGGCCCCGGGCAGACCCCCGGAGCCCCGGTTACATACCTCACTCACCTGCACTAGGCAGCCTTCGTCTGCTTCGCTGGCTGCGTCTTCTGTCGGGGCCTTTGTGTTTTTTTATTTTATTTATTTCTTTTGAACAGCTGCTGCCTTGATGTTTTATGGGTGAAATTACCCCCCCCCCCCGGGTAAGGCACTCCCCTCGCCCACTGAGCTCAGCCCCTCCCTGCTCGGTCTGTCTGGCCCCCTCAGCCCCAGGCTGCTCCTGTCTCTCTGACACTCAGTAACTTAATGTGGGGCTCTGGGGTGGGGGGCTCATCATTCAAACACCTGGGGTTTCTTTCTCACCCTGGGCTGGAGGGGGAGGGGAAGGAGGTCTGGCTACAGACACCCCTCGTCCAGCAGGGGCCAGGCTGGTGCCTGATCCTTCCTCGGAGTAGGGGGGGTTTACAAGCCCTGTGGGGGAGGCTATAACTGTCAATCCCCCCCCCCATGGCATTAGAAGGGGGGGGCAGAGCTGGAAAGGGTGTGGGCCAGGGTCACCAGTCCTTCCTGCAGGGCTGAATTCAGCTCTGCTGTGTCCCTTCTCCCCAGCCCCAGCGCGTGGGAGCCCAGGGCCAGCTTGGCTTTGTCTGACGAGTGGGTCAGGTCTCTGCTCCGGCAGGTGCTAGTGACAATGCAGAGCCGCTGTCACCTGCTGTGTGTGTGTGTGTGTGTTTTTATTATTATTTAAATAATAAAAAGTGTCTTTTAATAGATGGTGGGAGGCCAGCGGCCTGCGAGCCACCGGCTCGGTCTGTTGCAATTCTTGGTGGGAAATGTGGTTCCCAGGTCCTGGAGCACTGCGTGTCCGTACACACGCACCCTGCAGCTCTCTGCCCTGCACCTGAACACCCCTGTGCCTGCCCCTGGGCTTCCTGCTTCTCGAGCTGGGCACACCTCCTTCCTCCCCTAGGTGCTGGGGCCCACCCCTCTCTGGGCCTGCTCCGGCTGCTGGGGTACCTGGGGGTGTTGGAGCAGGGTGTCTGCTGTCTGGCACGTGGGAAGAGGGGTGTGTGAATATGCATGTACAACTTCCTCCCCCCCCCCAGGGAAGGTCCTGCACCCTGTCTGACCCCCCCCCCCACCCCCACCCCGGGGGGGGGGGGGGGG